TTACATAACTTTCTCTTCTTAAGAAGTTCATTCTAAAGTGCGAGAAAGTAAAACATACAGCAGGTACTGGAAGTACTACATTTACTAAAATGCGCAGAGCCAAACATTTCTGTAGTACCGAGATACGCCTTGTGGACTCTTATCAGCTTTTGGGTCAATGATCATCTCAATCTAATTTTGTTTTCCTTAATTCATTGAGTAAATACTGAAACTGCTCCTTTTTGCTTTTAACACTAAAAGAAACTTCTTTCTTCAAAACGTCACGTACGTCAGTTGTTTCTGAAGTTAAATAAATAAAATCGTGATTTGAAGTAAATTTATTCAGGAACGTGAATCTGATTGGATGCTAGCCCCAATACCCTCCCCGACTTTAAATGAATTTTCACTCGTGCAGGCAATGCCTAGAGATCTTAAATCGAGATATTTAGTGAGTCAAATCTGGCGGGTTGCTAGAACTATTTTTTTTTCTTTTTAATCGAACTTGTCGCACATGAAGAAAAAATGAGACATTCAGTGAGCCACATCTGATCTGGCACCTTCGGTCAGTGATGTAGACTTCAGATACGTTAAGTAACACAACACGCCTTCAATGGGTCACGGCACGATTCCCATTGTTTTCAGATACGCACCCAAAATTATTCTCGAAAGGAATAGTATACAGTATAGTATAGTATAAAAGGTACTCAGGAATAGTCCAGTCAACTTGATGTTTCCTTACAGTTTTTATTTACGGCCTATGCTGAATATAAAAATTTTATATGTTGACTTAAAGTTCGTATTTATAAACATTAACAATGTGTATACTGAATGACTTTCGAAAATAAAACATATTTTTGAATATGTATCACTGACTTCTTTGGGAGAAGATAAGGTCCCAAGACCCCCACCCTGGGTGCTGCTCTATTGCCGTTGTCAACTGTTCATTGGCCTTACAAACTGGGAGCGAAATCGCCTGACGTAGGGACTCACACTCGGACCCGCAGGGTCCGACGTAGGGCTCAAGGATCGAAAAAGCCCTTTAAACGTAACCAAGCAGTGTGCGGAATTTTTCATCGATCCCGCAAGTGTAGTGCATGTTTTAATACGGAGGTGTGGCTCGGTTCTCCCCCTCTGAATGGCGAGATCCGGCGCCGATCTACACATCGGCTTGCAGGATTTTCCCCAACTAAGTATCTCCCACCAGCGGGGGCTTGTTGCTTGTGTTCTAAGAAAAGAAGTTGCTGTCCTGGATTGAGTGAAAAGAACGTTAACCGTGTGAGAGATTTTCATGAGAAACCGGAAAAAGTCGGTTCGTGGAGCACTTCTGCACATAACGAAACTGGATATTTTACACTAATGTTTGCTCCCACCAATGTTTGTTTACACCAATGCTAATTTACTATTCCAGCAGGACCCTACTTCATTACCATAACATCAGCAACAACAACATTTGCTGTAACAATTTTTTAAAATTCTCTTTAATATGGCATACTGTAACGTACTAGCGAGCGAACCTCGTAGCAGCTATTTGGGGACGCATGGTAAGGGATTAGCAACAGGAAACCGCCTCGCCACAGGAGGGAGAGAAGGGTTTTTCCTAAAAGCAAGCACGTGGCAAAGGGAGACACGAGAATTTGGGGTCCTCCGGTCTTAGGGAACGAAGACCCAAATCTCAAGGCAAGCAGAAGTGCGCTGCGGTGGCGGCGTGACGTAGTAGGTCACGTGAGCCTCGTGTAAACGCAAAGGTGCGTTTACACGAAGAGACAAAGTCTCCTAACTTCATGACGTGACGGAGATAAACTCTCTCTGACGGCTTTACACGGTTCGAAATATCTCCCGAAACTCGAGTCTCCTACCACACGGGAGAGTTGGTTCCTGAGATATCTCCGGAAAAGTATCTCCTTGCTGTTTTACACTGGAATACAATGTCTCTCGAGTTCTCGTGGAGCAGGCTCTTGAATAAGCGCAACAAAGAGCGAGCAGTTTGGAGGTTAAGAATGTGACAAATGTTTCAGCCAGAGAGTATTAGGTTTCAGCTGGCTGTGACTTTCAACAATTTGGAAGAGCGGAGGAAAAGAAAAAAGAGACAATTGTGAGTGATTTTGATTTATTAGAGCAAAAGAAGATCTGAGTTTATATAAAACTTTGATGCGGAATTGCAAAGAGGATTTTTTTAAAAATTATTATTTGCTACTGTTTTCAGAGACAATAAAATGAAACCAAGTTTTTAATGTACGGATGCATAAAAATACTTATTTGGAAAACGTGCGGTCAGGACGTCAACGATGAGAAAATAGTTTTGACCCATAATGTAAAGGGTTTGAAAACTGGTGAAAGTTGATAATTTGTTTTAGAACTTTAGTGAAGTATAAACGATTTGAAGAATCATTTATTAGTTCTCTGAAATTTTGTTATGATATAAACTAGGAAGATGTAAAATGTTGCGAAGGAATTATTTTGAAGTTATGTTGAAATTTGGTTAATTTTTGGTGGAAGAGGCATTACACTAGGGCAGGCAATAAAAGAGAAGACTAATTAATGTTTATAACAAATATTTACAATTGATAGTAATTTGAAGTTTTAATTTATTAAAGGATGTATAAAAAATAATATTATAACGATAATGTAGTCCATGTACAAAAACTTCGTAAATTCAGAAGAGTTTGAATTTTTTATTTAGGAAATATCTCAGCCCAATCAAAAAGCAGAAATGGAAACTGATTTATTTCGTAAAGAGATTGAGAGATATATGACGTACGCGGCGGATTTTGGTCACAGGAAATCATACAGTTCTTTGTCATTTGTATTTTATAATTCCTTAGTTATAATTTCGCACAAGAACGAATAACCCGACAGTTTGGAACGCCGCACAGACACAGACAGCCGCCCAGAATGGGCTAATCGAGCACGTGAACACATACTTCGTATACAAGGAAGGGCAAAAAGTCTTCCAACTTGCTTTGAATACTATTTATTCCCAGGAGAATGACGATTCTACATCGATTCAGAGTCTTTAACACTGGCTCTCTTGCGGAGACTTCGCATTCTTGTGAACGTCAATGTTCCGGAGAGAAGATCGCTCTCCTGAGAGTTTACACGTGTCTCCTAACCAGTTGCGGAAAGTTAGGAGAGAAAACTCTCTCCGTGTAAACGCGCCTTGCACAGAGTCAGTGGGAGGGTTCTGGAGACAGTGCGTGAACCTCGTGCATTTGAACACACTTGGCGCCACGACGATGCAGCGGTGAGCAGGGTTCGCGAGGCAAGTCACGTGTTGACAAGCATGTGGAGGACTTTGTGTCCTTGTGTGACTGCGGTCACGTGGGAGCGATGCTGTGTGGGTGCTCCGAGGTGAGGAGTGGTTGAGAGCCACGACTCACACCGATTCTCAATCGGGTAAGATCGCTCCTGCGATCAAGGCAAACCATCAGGTGGTACGCCAGTACGGACTTAGGGTCCCAGTGTGACATCCGATTACGGAAGCTTGGCTTTGTGCGCGCTTCAGATCTAGGAGTGGCGAGTGCCACAAATTGAAACCAATCATCAATCGGGTTGCGATCGCTCCCGCGATCAGGGGATAACAGGTCTATCAGAGGTAGAGTACAAAGTGTAAATTCATTGTAAATATTTGTTGTGTTTTCCATGTAAATAAATATGTGTTATATGAAAGCTCCTGTGTGTTCGCTGTGAGTGTCCATGATGTCACAATACATAGGGTCTATGAAAGCTGTTTCGTTTATAGTGTTGTGCAATAAATGAACACTACTGTTACAGGACTTTATGAACTCGCTGTATATATACAAACACAAGAGGTGGCGGAGCTTTTCCACTAAAACGTGAGATATCCGGTGCCGACATACACGACAGCTTGCCAAAGGGCCTCCGCTCCAGCCGGGACAAACTCTAATCATCCAACTGGTCCCTCGTCAAGCATGATAGAGTTCTGCATATAAGTAAAAACATGTGTATTAGGACAGAAGGGACAAGGACAAGGAAGAAAAAATCGTGCGCTATCCGTGGCCTGTTTTTGTTAAAAGAGTACGCTTCGGCATTTGTATGGTATATGAGAAACCACCGACAACTACCAATCAGAGCATCATGATGTTTCTCCTTCAGAGAGTGAAACAATTCAGCTCAGCTATCTACTACGAAAAACCACCACTGTCTACTCAAAACCACGGATCTCCTGGCTAGCGATGTTGCAGCTGAGCTACTGCAGTCACATCGGGAAACAAAATCAATGTGCGCCGGCATTACGAATTTTCAGTATGCTTTTTCTACTTTATTTTCAAGATGAAGAGACACCATTACTTCCATTTTCAAACTAATAATATACAGTTTTTATTGAGAAGTTCGCTTTGAGAACTGTAACCGATGTCAAAAAAATAACTTTTGATAAATGAAACAAAAGAGCATTACCTTTTGTGAAGGCTCTCGGCTGTCAGGGTGACGCCGTGACGAGTGCAGCCAATTGAGGCAGCGTCAGCCAACCATGCTCACTCCAGCCCTGAAGAAGACCAAGGTCGAAATGTCGACAACGCTGCCCTCTACGCAGCGTCACCCCGACAGACGAGTGATTCCATATGACTGGCCGCGAAAGCCTACGATTGCAACATAAACCTTCATTTGGTAGGTTCTCAAAGATGCCCAATTCTGAACAGAATTTTTACAAAAAGGGCACAGTTGGGAAATTAAGGTTTAAAATACTCACCATATTAAAACTATATATTTTCTGGGAAATTTTAATCGCAATTTGTTTTTAATATAAAGATAAATAATATTTCAAATTTGATGTCCTGTTCAGAAAATTTTAAAATCTGTTCATGATGTCGCATCACTTAAGCAATTTGTAAAATAAATCATGGAAGTTTATTCAAATATAGTTCAACATGTTCCTGTTTATTACAACTGTAACCTAGAATGTTGTAGAAACTTGTTTGTCTTTTAATTCCTTTAGAAGTGGAATGGAAGTTTCTCAAGAAAATGAAAATCTCTCTACTTCAATACATATAAAAGATATGAAAGCAAGGGCATATCCTTAAAACAATATATGTGGCTTGGTGCAAGAAGGCCCAATGTCAATTATTCAATGTTTTACAGAAAAGGTGGTTATCTACACGCATTGAAATCAAAAACACATCATAGAACAATATAAATCAATGTGAAATGTAGGAGATAGGATTGATTTTGACTTTGGCAATTCTTGCACTGAAAGAAGGGGAATTAAAAGCACATTGGCTATACAAAACTGAAAATCACTAAAACTGACATTGGGCCTTCTTGTACCAAGGCGCACAATTTATTTTTGGAAATTAAATTGCAATGAACCATCTACACAATGTCATAGCAATAAGTTCACAGCCACAAAAATAGAGCAGACTTTTGGGTTTAAGAATTTAGGATGCCTGGCTTTGTCACAGGATACAAAGAGTAAATGTTACAAAGTGATAATTGCAAAGTTTATTTTCAAATTTTGTTATTTTAAAATTCCAAAAATTTGTTTGAAAACACACATCATTACGGATTCTCTAAAGACTTGGATAATTAACTACTCAACTTCTCTACTTCTTAGTCTCATTGCTAATCTTCCAGCTTTGTCCTTAAATCTCACCTAGATGACTAATAGCACAAGTTAGTGCAAGGAAATATTTTTTGGAAATAATTTCTTTCCTTAATCATTACTTTGTAAAACAAAGGCACGACAGCAAATGAGAAAATGCCCACATTAGTATTCAAAAATATGAAATGATATACCACAAACAGAAAAAAGTATGGGTATCCAACATTAATAAACCTATTGAACTAAACAACCTGAATGAATACCAACATTCTCACAATTATACTCTTTCTTCAGAAATTGGCAATAAAAATAGTACTATTATGAACTAATAGTTCTACAAATAATAGCAAACAATAAGATCACCACAGTAAAGGTACTCTAATACAAAAAAATACAAATACAAAACTTTCCTCAATTTTACAATATACCATGTATAAAAAGAGAACACCGTAAAATTTCATAGTTTTGTTACATTATACATTTATTATTTATAGGATGGATTTTTCTATTTATAAGTCATTTTAATAAACCATTCAAATTATTTAAATTATGTTCATTTAAATAACTAAAATGGCTGAATCATAACATCCACAACATAAAATACTTGCACTTGAGATATTAGCACAATTATATTTACATACATCTTGATGTATGTTCTGGAAACAATCAGCACACATGTCAAGGTGGACCTGGACCATCCACAGCAAATGTGTAAGAGGCATTTCCTCCACCAGTCACCTCCCTATCTAGAAGACTTGCAGCCAAATCCCTTTCCAAGCTGCGATTTGCTTTCTTTAGTGCACCCAACTGTTCACGCAAAGTACTGATGCGTTGTTCAAATCGTGAATTCAATCTTTTCACTTCCTGTTGCCACCTGAGAAATCAATGAACTTTTTTATTTATTTATTTATGCACGCGCGCGCTCGCGCCCGCACACACACGCGCGCACACACGCACACACGCGCACGCACGCGCACGCACGCGCGCACGCGCACACCCACACCCACGCCCCCCACCACACACACACCCCCACACACCCCACACGCCCATGTGCACACGCGCACACGCACACACACAAATTTATTAAGATGACATTCAAAAAGTATGTGAAAGGTAACAAGACAAAAAACAAATGTTCTTGTAATACTTTTGTGATAATAATGTAAACACATTACTTCAAACTAGAAATGGAAGTTAAAATTAATAAAAAATAAAAATTTGATAAATTGTTTTAATATCTGTAAAAATATCAACCAATTTTTAATGAAGTAATTTTTGTTTATCACAAAAAGAGCCTAAGAAATAGAACTTTCATTTCTGGAAGGGAGAGGGTAAATAAAGTTAAATTTTAAGAGAAACTACACGAAATTAAAGAGAAAGCCATACATTAGCAGCCCATATATGCATCATAAAAAAATAAAATTCTTCACTTTAAAAATTGGAAAATTGGTGGAGGAGCCCCCCCCCCATAATGTGTATATATTTCTTAAATGACTCAATTAAATGCATTCATTACAAATAAAATACCAAAATATACTTCAAGACTCCCTTCTGTACAGGTGAATTGGAAACTAAGCATTTCAATTTCCCTCAAATTCAAGAAACATTCGCAGTTTAACTTCAAATTAACTTCACTTTATTCGGTAATTCTCTATTGCTTTAACTTTTTGTAATGAAAAATACATAAAGTGAAATAAAGAAACAATAATTAAACCTTCAAATATGAAAATATATTTGACAGAAATGGGCATATTCTTACAGAAAATTTTCCACGTATTTTCTGTAAATTTTCATCTAATTCCAGACTACTTATGCACAAGTTCACTTGTACAGCGTAGGTCAAAATAAGTGATTATACTCTTTGACAAAGAAAGAGGTCAACAAATTAAATTAGCAGTCTATTTTACTATTGAATTTTATTGAAACATGGCAGTAACTGTTAAAGATATAATTGTTATTTTCATTAAATGTTTTCTAAGCTTAAGAACATTGTAAACACATATTCTTTCTTACCTTTTCTTTGCAGCTACTTGTGCATCAAGATGTGCCTGTAGCTCCTGAGTAACTTGGATCCCTTGCTTTTGCATATCACTTAATTGATTTATTACTCGCCTGTATTCTTCGAACTGTAATTCACACTGAGCATGTATTCTGCAATATTGAAGGTGAAATTAAAATAACAGCACACATGGAGAAGGGGGGGGGGGGTGCTCATAGTGTCTGGGTTTGAGCTCCAACCAATTCATAATGAATTGTGGTAGAGAAAGCAAATTCTTGGTAGGCTTTTTTAGAATTTCCCATTTCCCTTATCTCTCTACCATTGCTCTGCTCCTTTATCATTCACTTCATTATCTTTATTTCTATCATTTCATAATTCATGGATCTCAGTGACCTCAACAGTTTAATTCCCCCCATACCTCAACCAATCATTAGTGCATCACTGTGGCAGTGTACTGTTATGATTCAACTAGCATAACCATTTGTCTTGACTCTTATTTCCACCTTTTATAAATGTCTTGATTGATTTGAATTTCATCCTTTTTTAAATTAACATATAATGAAAATGCATAATAAATATTCCTTTGAATTATAAAATATAAATAAATATATTTACTGTTCATTAGGAATTGTGATGAATCCAGCAGCTTGTATAGTTGCCAACTGCTGCTCCAGTTTTGTCACCTGGTCCTCCATTATCAAGGTGCGAGCTTGTGCTGCTGCCTCCATCTGTTGTGACTGTGCGTGTGCAGCTTGGAGTTCCTGTCGCAACTTTCGCAGCTCATCTAATGTGCTTGCCATTTCTGCCCGGTGGCTGTTCACACAGATTTAGAAGTTGTTCTGTACATTAGACAATGTTTGCAGCAATATAGTTTTTTAATTCAATATTCAGTTTAGGTATTTTATTCTTTGATGGAAATCAACGTTATGAAATATCATAAGGTGGAACGGTTCTTGTAGTACATATATAAAAAATTCATGTGAAAACATGTTCAACAATCAAATGCTCATTTCTAAATTTTACCTCTCATCAGTGTTTTGGAGGTGAACCAAAAGGCGATCACGATCACGGGTAACTTCAGTTACTTCTTGTTCAACACGCCGCAATTCACGATAAGCATTATCCACATTACGCTGCATCTGAACAGGATCAGGAAAAGACAGGCGTTCCTTTCTTTCCCTGTCTAATTCATCTTCAACTCTTTGCAAATCTACGCTCACTTTGTCTAATTGAGCACGCTTTCGGCCCAACTCCTAACAAGAAAATTTCATACATAAAATATGAAAAGCAAAATGTTTCTTTCAATTCATAAGTTCCTAAACCAGTAAATTGAGACGGAATAATATTTCAGTTGCTCAATTTCATATAAAAACACAACAGTCTTCCCTTGTTTTTTTAAAAACAGAAAAGAAAATGAAAATGTAAACATAAAAATTCTACACATTATAATTTGGTTGTGTTTTTGCAAAGTAACAGATGATGACTATAATTCGTATATAGGTAAAGGCAAACAATATTACAATGGAAATGAAAACTCTACCTCTTGCAAATTGCGCATGTCTCGTAAAACTACTTCCATTTGCTCATTAAACTGCTGTTTTAGTCTAGAACTTTCTTCAGCAACACGTTTCCCTGCCTCATCCAACAACTGTTCCACACTCTTCTGAAGTTTTGAAGTTTCTTCTACAAAGCAAAAGAAGAAGAACAATGTCAACCCCAAGCCTATGTAAAAGATATACATTTAAGTCAGTCAAAAAATGAACACTTTTAAATCAATGAATTTAAAATTTTTTCTATAATTCATTGGTATTTGAAAAAATTGAAATTTTGATCAGATTCAGGTGTAGCCAATTATAAAACAAAAAATGCAATGTTTTAACTGCAACAAATTACATGCATACTACAGTATATAATATGTCCTGATAATACATCATTGCAGTTTTGTATTCCACAGAAAGATAATATATGACCAATATATTGTTATTATTTCCTTCAGTGTCACAACTGACAAAACTTATTGTAACTAAGTTTGGAAAAAGATCATATAAGTCAAAGCATTGTTTACAGCTAACCATTTGCAATAAAACCATGTCTGCAAATTCATGTCTGGATACAAACATACATTTACCCTTAGGAAAAATATTAGCGAGCAAGTTCTGATCAGCAAATATAGCATAAACACATGTTTCAGTCTTCTTAAAGTTGTAAAAATCTGTTCCAGTTTTTCTCAATTTTTAAAATATATAAAAGTGTGACACTCATATGAGTATATGGATTTGACCAATGTATTGAGATGTTTCGACATCTCGCATGTGCTAATTGCCATATGCCCACGCACCTCAAAGCTCTTCCCACCCCCATTTCCCGTCACATTGGCTACGGGCAGCTGCCGGCTGACCCCAAGACTCATCAAACACCGCAAAGGGCCACGGCGTTGCTCTTCCAAAGCCACCCTCCCATTCGGAACAAAAAATCCGAAGACACCCCCCCTCTGCGACTCCCGCCCCAAAAGCAGGGAAGTCTTTGACCTCCGCACACTTGACATCCACGATGCCGTGAAAACTCGGATTATTTTCGTCTCGCAAATGCCCCCTCGCTAATCCTTTGGGACTAGCTTTAATTCTTCACCCAGAGCGCCGGCTCTCAGCAGATGTACCCGCCCTTCCCCCATCGTCAACAGAAGACAAACAACGACAACCTATTGGAACGATCAGAATTTGTAGGGTGTACCCTGGGCCGTCCACTAGGCAAAGTGGGAACTGGGCCGTCCACTAGGCATCCACAAACCCATAGAATATTCTAAAAGTAGCTAAGGAACCAATAGGAACACAGAAGAACACACGTGACTACAAGGGACTCACACGCAAAGGATAGGTAACGTAGGCAATACAGGCCAGAGAGGAGAAGGGCAGATGTGGTCTAAAATCCATCGAGTGAGGCTGCTTTGATTTTCAACGAGCAAAGATGCATTTAGTTAAAAAACGTCAAGATCTGAGACTATGCACACGTAAGCTTGCGCGGCTCGATCGTCACTGTCCTGAGGGAGCCTGTGACATGTCAGGTGAAACATCGGCCTCTCAGCCAACGACGCGGCGTCTCCCGGATAGCCAAGAATTTAAAGATCTATAACTATTTGAAACCGCAAAAAGGGTACAAAGCCATCTTCTCTTGAACCGGTGCATTATTTAGAACTATTAGCAAGCGAAATAACCACGTCAACGAATTAATTCCGCTCTGCGGACGTAAGCCAGATTCCAAAAAAGCACTTGTCACGTCCAGCAATTTGCCGCGACGAGCATTCCTACGCGGGTAGAGTGACGTTTGATGGCCTTACCCAGCGAGAAGGAGGGCCTTCAATCCAGTCATCGGCGCGCATGCTGCAGATCCAGACGCTAGCCCGCGCACGACCTTGTGACGGCGCCCCCACCTCTAGCGGCATCACCTGGCGTGCGCGATTAGAACACTAATCCACGAAGGCGACGAGCAATTCTCTACAGCAAGGTAACTCAAAATGTATCACCGTAGGCCCCTCTCCAAAATTAAAAGACTGCAATGCTAGTGAACAAAGAAGGGGATTGCGTAGTTACAAAGTCATTAAATGCCCATGTAATTATGTAGTGTCACTTTGAATAAATGTGTGCCCGCCATTTCGACGGACAACACTTAAACAATCAATTAGAAGTGTTTTTTTTTTAATTAACAAATTAAGAGCATGCGCATCATCCCGACCCACAGCGACTAACCCCTTGAGATCTCTAAAGATGACGCAGAAGGCAGGATGGTGTCGCGCTAGGCACCCACATTTAAATAAATTTAGTGCGAGCGACCTGATATCCTCCACAATGTCGAACACTCATGTGTCTGGACACATTGTGGAATCCCGCTACAGTACGCGCAAATCACCGGCGTATTCCGACGGGCAGGTTCGTCACAGTATGTTGTATGACCTGCCAATATCTGACATTAGCTATATTCTAATTCAAACTACACTTCAAACCAGAAGAGAAATTTTATTAACAATAAAAGACTTCAAGACCTCTAGAACTTAAAAAAAAATATTTAAGAAAATAAGATTTTTAAATGCTGGCACTTAACTTGTAACTAAAAACTTTTCAGCATTTTCCAAAGTAGACCCAATTGTATGCAGCTGATGTAACTGGCCCCTGTCTGTACAAAAAGACCAGCCAGACAGAAAAATACAGCACAAGATTTTGAGCCCATGTGGTCTTATTTTATATTCAAGCTTGCAGGAGCAAACAGAACCATTTGTAGATCATCACTCGGAGGTGGCAATTTGACTCATCCACACTAAACACATAACTGATGACAACCTACATCTCATATTTCAAAGGTTTGAAGATACATTTGCCAGCGGATCACTGCCCCTAATGGAACAAGTTCAAAGTTCCTGTCTGGTCACCTGACATGTGCAGTAGCATGTAAATGCATGCATATGTGTGTGCACAGGTGAGTCTGTAAAGGGAGAAAAGGAGAAAAGAATGAGGGAGAAAAGATTAAATGCAATCTGTGAATGCAATTTGTTAAGGTACCACTCAGCATTCACCAGGATTGATTGAACAATAACCATTTAAAATCACCAATCAGAGCAGCTGAATGCTAGAATTCTCATCTAGAGTACTGTTTAATTCGACCTAGCGATCTAGCCAAAAACTGTCAAAATCCACCACTGCGGATTCAGTGGTATAAATGCGTATTGAGCTGTTGTACCCAAGTTTGCACATTCAAACCCAATTGAAACTGTGCATTTTTAAGGGGGAAGGAAACCTTTGTATACCTTCCTTCAGAGGGGAAGTAAAGCAGACTGTCCCATGTAGTAGATTTATTGCATGTAAAAGATCCTCAAGCCTAAAAGAAGCCTCTGAGCTAAATTCAAATCACCTGTTTCGTCGCCCATGAAATACCACTAGTGGGTGAAAGGAGCATAGCGAAATTTGCTTGGTCAGACGGAAGAGCAGGCCTGATGACCGGAGTCTCACCACGTAAAATAAGGCATTAACCAACTAACTGGCGGGACTCAAATCCTAGGATCTGGCAATCAAGAGACACTGCAGTGGCAACAGTTGTAGCCCTAAGCCATCTCAGCGGATATTGCCAATTGAGTCCCTTTTCTATCCCTTTTTTAAAATTTATTTATTTTATTTGTTTTTGCTGAGGGCCCTGCAAAACTACTTTCTATAGTGATCAGTAGTGGCAGTTGTCAGTTGTAGCATCTTTACGCTATAAAAGAAGTGATCTCCTGCTTTAACGGATTGCTTTTGAGCATGTGATTAGTTCCACAACAAAGAACAACATCTCAGAGAGCAGGGGTGAGAAAGCTGTGAATTGGGCCCACAAGATGTTGGTTTCAATAAATATTTAGTGTTTATTTACTTTTAAACTGAAACCATACAAACTTTAAGAGACATACAATACTTTAAGAGACATACAAATCTTATAAAAACTGAACCAATTCTCTATGTTCTCCAAGTCAGAATTAATAAACCACCAACTTGGGCTGCCACTAGGGTTCATAAACTTCAAAAATACATTTTTGTTTCAATTTTGTTCTGATGAAAATTTTAATCCTTATTTATATTGCCCACAAAACAATCAGTAGCACAGAAATCATAAGCTTAGCTGGTTCATCAACAAGCATTGAGAGAAAACTTGATGACAATGATTTCTCTTAATTAAGCCATCAAGTCCTTGAAATAAAAAACATCCATTATCATGGATCTAATGTTTCAAACATAACTCAAACCCATTTTTCATGATATTCAGTCAATTTATACTATAGCTTCTAAACAAAAATACTCTAAGACATTGCAGTCCCAGTTATTTTAAAACTTTTCAGGGCAGGAGGTCTGTTACTTCATGCCATTGTTCTTGTGTACAGACTATAAATATCAATTACTTGTAACCTTGACAACTATCTCTTATGTTGCCTGGCCTAAATTATCAGAACAAGTTAAAACAGCATACAAGCCACAGCAACTTGGGAGTGTGCGGGTGAAGTGTGCGAGTGCATAGCATAGGATTTCATGGAAAAGGAGATCTCAGATCTTAAAACTTGCCAGCAAGTAGGGTCCCTTATTGAAATGAAAATGTTTATGGGAGCTCTTTTATTTAACATCTTGATAGTTGATATTTATGAGACCTTCATACCTGAGAATTTTCTGCTATTCACAAATGACCTGAAATTGTTTTCTGTTGTTTGATTAAGTGATGATAGGTCATTGATGCAAAATTGTTTGCATATATTATGTAATTGGTGCACAAACAATAACTTGTCATTAAATACAACTTAATTAAAGAGGATTTCTTTTGGTAGAGGTGAGTGTAAAATAGCTAATTATTATGTGCCTAAACGAGGAAATTAATGAAGTAGCTTTTCAAATTAAACATGTACCTAAAAATAGTCACTGACACACTGCAATGATACAAGAGCATTCTCTAGTTCATACCCTCAAAAAGTAAGAGTTTCACCTATTATATATACCTCCATGTATGTACTTGTTAGTGATTGGCGTGCCATCTCTGGGATGACAGCTATGCTCCACAGGGTCACAATTTCATTTGTTTACTAATATTATTTAGTTAATTTGCAGTTTCACTTATTCATGAGCAGGGTGTAATTCTTCTTAATAATGTAAACTTTAAGAACAATTATGATATTGCAAATAATTCTTTACAAACATAGGCTTTTGCAAGATATTGCACTTATTCATACCTGCAGTACTCATAAACAGTATGTTATCTTTTTTTTGACTACACCTAACTCGTCATATGCTTGCACGATTTGTCTCCAGGTTATAATAATATCAAATTAAAACACTTAGAGCCATTACATTTAGATTTTTTAGACCATTCTTAAATTTGATTGTCTCCATTTGGAATCATATTATGAAAATGTACTATTGGTTCCTGAAATTCCATCTCTTCAATTAATAAAAAAAACAATTGACTTCATAAATCTATTTAAAATATGAGTACATAATAATATTACTGTTCTGACAGTCTGAACAAGTCAACTCTCTAAAATTAAATGTGTTATTTAGAGTAATTAGATATTTTGATATAGGTTCCATACTGATTGAAATACTAAATCTTATATAATTTACCCATCTCTGCACATGAAGATAATCATATTACATATTATAATTAGTTTTTGTTGATCTGACTGATTTTTAAGACCGTCAAGAAAATGTAAAAACAAATGTTTACAAAGTTGTACATGCATGTATTTTCTTGCTTACTCTCAAACACAAAATAAAATACCTTTAGCATGTGCCTCTGCCACAAGGGCAGCATCTTTCTCCAGAACAGCTGCATCCACAAGGGTCAAAGCTTCTTCAACTCGAGAAAGAGCAGCCCATTCACGTTTAACAAGTTCTTCCCCTTTTCGCGTGGATTCTGTCAAAGCAGTTTCTAGTTCATCACGTTGAGTTCTCAATCTATCTGATTCATCAGACAACTCTTTGATACGACTGCCTGCTGCTTCAAGACGAACTACTACTGCAGATTGACCTGGAGAAAGAAACAAATATTTTCAAATTATAACATAAAAATATGAATATAGATCATTTTTTTATTTTATTTCTTTTACGAAAGTTCAATAAAGATTACCTAAAGATTCTGTAATAGAAAACATGCATTGCCTTTGGCAAAATTTTATTTTGTGATCATATGATGCAGCTTGTGATGGTTATCCTCCAATAACTATAAAAATCTTAAATGGAACAATTGGAAAAGACAACACTAAATTTTCTCATATTTATGTTTCCAACAAGAAAATGACACCAATGCTTCAAATTTTTAATTTGTTCATAACAGAAATGAACTTGACCTCCTTCCATACATATGAAATTTATAATTTATCAGACAAATTGAAGTTTTTAATTTTATTGATAGAATAACAATCTGAAATCCATGCATATTTGGCTAGTAACAAACTAGAAAATTCTTGGCTAGAAATGCATTATTTTAATTTTTGTTAAAAAGCTTAAAATAGTGTAAAGTAAATAAACTCTTTCCACACCATTCACATTTCCACAAAAGCTTTTCATGCATATAAGAACTACACATGCACAAAACAAAGAACATCAAGTAATGTGAGCTGGTGGAGAGATAGAATGTGCTTTCTCATCTACAAGGAGAATATACAGTAGATGCCATTTATTGTAATCACACCCAATTACAACATGACATTAACGAATTGATAATAATAATAATAATAGACAAAATATTCTACCTGGATATTATTAAATGAGAAAGGAAGTTATGTAGGAGGGAAAGATCCCCTGCAGATGCACAAACCTTTTCTGATTGTAAACCCATGTATGCCTCTAAAACCAAGTAGGCAGGCAGTAAATACCTGCTTAATCTTTCAGGACCCTAGAGATTTTAAAACTGTGTTAAAAAAATAATTAACAACATTAAAAAATGGCGACCTTTTGACAGATGTTTTCTCACTACAGTGATATTAGTCTTTGAAGACTTCAAAATATGACACATTAACAATAATTACAATACGTGGCACCCACAATACTAAATTTCACAAATAAAACCTAAAATATATACTGCTGTTATTACCCAAAAACAGACATAATACTTACAAGATTAATTGTACTATTATAATAAATAAATTATCTGTTCTTAATAAGATATCCACAAACTCATGAACGGACAACTCATCGAAACTTTCAGTTAAGTGGAAATTGTTTCACAACTTCTCGCTGTTTAAAAAATATCCTACAATTATATTTGTGGTACATTTTTACACCATTCTAAAACTCTTATTAAGGGGTTTAAAAAGAGCCTTAAAAGATGGCTAGTATCTCACCTAATACAACAGCTTAATACAGCTTCGCTGAAACCTGCAATATATGGAGTGAGCATAAGAACAACACACATACTCTGAAGTACAATTGCCAATTCTATCTCATAATAATCAACATTTTAGAATGTTGATAAACTAGGAAAAAGACTTGTTTTTAAATGGTACATCATTTGATCTTTGTACATTGAAATAACAGCCGGAAAGTAATGTGAAGTAGCTTCACAATTCAAACGAACTTTTGTTTACTACATAATTCATACACATTCATGCACAATTCCCCGAATGGATACTGGAAAAGTTGCATTACATATGATCTAAAATGGCTGTTTTATCTATTTGTGTCAAAACTGATTTTTTGAAAACTTATTTTATTTTAATGACTAAAATTCTAGAAAATTAAACCTATGTCAATACACATTTTATAACCCAACCCTGAAAACAATTTTCTATTCCAATTTAAACTAATAAATTATTATGAGAGTTACTCTTGCAAAGCACTGAATTAGGTGCAATCTTGTGCCAAAAATGTATACAGTTGTGAAGTAAAGGAGTTGTGAGCATGCTCAATTTCAAGTGTGAAAGTGTAGAAGTGCAATTGACATTTATGAAAACAAATAACTATCATTTAACTTTTAAAATTATTTTCCTACAACAGTTCAGATATCCTGGGAGCTTGCTGGTTGCACATGCTTTTTTCTGAATTTTCGCCTTATTTTTTTGTTTTCACCATCTCCAATTTAGTAAGATATTTGTAGAGTAATGCTCAAAAATGTGTATCACTACAAAAAATTGTATTAAATAACAAGAACACACCATAATAGTTTTATGATGTAACCTAATACGGAGGCAAATTCTGTAATCAATACAAAAATAATCTTCAGTACGTAGTGTCTCTGCATTGTATATGTTAAACAGAGAGCTACTTATTGCATTTTGAAAGGAATATCATTCTTTCTCTATTACTCAGAAGATCTAATTCAAGTTTTCAACATACAATTTTTCCATTCTACCTACTGAACGCTTTCATTAAGCTTTTTTTTTTTTATTATTATTATTATTATTATTATTATTATTATTATTATTATTATTATTATTATTATTATTAGACCAATTATTTCCTTGTGCTTTCCCTGTACATTTCTTGCATTTTGATTTCCTCCGGTTTTCCAAATTTCTATTTTCCCAGAAATCAGTCACCTTGATATTAAACAATTACTTGTAACTCTCATGAGTTATCAAAAATGTTTTTGTGGATAACAGAGAAATGAAATGGCATATTTAACATGGACATTGGTTAGCAGTGCTTGCCAACTAAAAATTGTTCAATGAAAATTTACATTTAAATCCAATATATGAATGTAAAAGGCAATATTTACATTTACATTACCTGTACAAAATCTGATAAAAATTACAACAGTTCTGCAATTATTCCATAACTAGAGAATTTACAACTACTGAACTCCATTTCTACAACAGCCTAAAATTGCAGAAACAGCTACAATAAATTCACAACAATTGTTGTGTTTCATTAAGTAAAAGAAACTTAACTTTAAGATGGTCAAGTTCTAAGAGCTCCCTAACATCACAAGTTTTTGTAAATCTTCCATCTAATTATGAAATTATCAAGTACTATAAATTCAAACCAAAGAGATAAAGTACATAAGTTCCCTGTTTTTCAAACATATCTTTTAAGAGCAAGGAATTTTTAAACACTCATTTTTTAAACTCCTCCCTCTCCCCCCAAAAAATTACTGACAATTAACAAACAAACAAAAATACCTCACCCTCTATAACATTTTCTAGTTGAGTTTCACGATCCCGCAATGTGGAGTTGAGTCTATCTTGTTCTGCTTGCATACGCTCCAATTCTTTCTCTATCGCTTCTCTTCTTGCACGCTCTCTGCTCAATTCAGCCTGCAGACCAGCAACTTTCTCCTCCAGAAGCGTGATGGCTGTGGAATACTCCTGCTTTACCTGCAATACACTGTTACATCTTTGTCTGCACATTCACTACTGTTGCTATCAACTCAAATTATTAGAAATTTTCCAAAAATTCTACTTGATTGTTTTATCTTACTGCACAACACATGATAACAAAGAAAAGAATAAATATGATCTTCGAGCATGAAATTATGTTCATTCAAACATCAAAACCACAAAGCAAGACCAAATAGACATGAAATAGGATGGGTAGCTCAACAAGAAAATTCTTAAATAGACAGCAGAATGTGAGTTCTGCACAAACAATTCAAGTTTTCACACACTTTAAGTATTGTTTTGTAAGGTAAGTATTAATTCAGGAAACTTTCAGAATTTCAGGTCTCTTACTTGCATGTAAACCACAAACTCCTTAATAAGCCACTTAAATTTGACTGATTTCTATTTTCACTGAAGTTACATTTGGTTCACAAATAAACATAGATGTGTTCTTTTTTCTGTATTCCTAGTTACTTTTATCTGTGTAGATTCATCATGAATTGTGAAATATCATATGGCAAGTCCAGTAAAATAACAATTTCCCACCCCTGAGTATAAAAATATATTTTCAAATATTCAAATAATACACACACTGGAATAATAAAGTGACATTTTGGACATGTAAGTAAAAAGACAATGATGAGAATTCATAATATAACATCAAAACCAATGCTAAAGTCTGGTTCAGAAATGTGGATAATGGGCATAAAGGAAACCAGAAGAATAGAAGTTGCTCAGATGAAGTTTCTAAGGGCAGTGTTAAAGTAACAAGAAGGGACAAAATTCAAAATGAAACAATTAGGAAAAAACTAAAAACAGGAAACTTTGCAGAAGAAATAAATTACCAAAGGAAATCAAGAAAAAGTGTCAAAAGAATGGACAAACAAGAAGATGGTACCAGCAGGAACACTACATCAAACTTTACTACCCACTAACAGGACAGGTAAACCAAGGGTGTTAATGATCATGATTAAGTATTCAAATAATTTTCTGAAGCCAATAATGCCACTATAATATTAATACAATTATCTGTTTATTATATGTTGACATAACTTTCTATGGATAAAACACAGCAATAGATCTTATATTAATCAATTTACATTATTAAAGAGCAAAGCTTTAGAAGAACAATTCCACAAACCTCATCCAAATTTCGTGAAGCTGCATCTAATTGTCTATTATTGCGATAAGCTTCTAACTCAAGCTCCAAAGTCTCCAGTTCTCTGACTGTAGTTTGATATAGTTCCATTGCAGCAGCTTTTTCCTGATGTGGAAACAGATGTCTTTGTAAAATTAAAAATGCACTTTAAAAATAAAATATTTCAAAGGCAAACACAATCCCTATAGCTATATCATCAATATTGATTGTGCTCTATTAAGGCAATGAAGGACCAAATTAAAAAGATTGACAAAGAACAATAAAGCACTAAACCTGTGAGGTAAGTAAAAGTTGCCTTTGAAGATTTGCAACCATGTCAGCAGCACGATGACGATTTTCTCCTGAAGATTCATGAGCTAAATTGGAACTAAGAGCAGACTTCAATTGCCCAGACAATTGCTGATTTTCTTCAAGTAGAGCTGCCACATCTGCTCGCAAAGCAGTGTGTTCATGCTGTACACAAATGCAAAGTAAATACTTTTTAATGAGTTAAAGAGTTTAATGTTAAAGAGAAAAATAAAAATATTACCTTATAAAATTCCACTTGTTCTTTTAATGAAGCTGTTAAGTTATCATATTCCTTCACTACAGTAGGGAGCATTCTGAAACAAAATCCCAATTTCTCCTCTCCGTATAGAGTGATTAATTAACATGGGAATGGCAAAGATAAACACTCTTACGAATCTTTAATGACTCCTTTTTGCACAGCCTCCATTTTCCTTTAACTTTTAAGGGTTTAGAAAATTAATTGTAAATGATGGTCCAGAAAACTGCAATTTTGCACATCAATTACCTAATGGAAACAAATCAAGTTTGAGACTGAAAAATAACCTTAATGTATATTATTCACTTATAAAATTGTACATATTAAGAAATATGACAAATAATTGCAAATGGATAGAAATTCACAAAGGAAACTTCAGCATTTCATTCATTATAATCTAAATACGGGAATGCGAGATAAAGAATTTCCCTTATTCTATTCGCATAGTATTATCTCACATCTTACGTTATGAAAAACACATTAATGAAATGATTTTCCGAAAATTTGTAACTTCTTTCCATGGTAAGATTCTGTTGGAAACTTGTTTTCTGCACAAATAATCAAATTTAGGGAGCAAATAAGGCTGTTAGTTCTTCGTCAAAAGCACCTTAACCTTCATACTGCTTCATTCTTTCAAGTCCATATGACGCGCGTATTTGGGTTTGTTGTTTTGATCGATATTCTTCAATTTTCCGGTTTCGGTGACGCATTCCACAAACCAGCGACAGATGGTGCTCCACACCATTCCAAGAACCAGTTACAGATATAACAACCTAACGTTGTAAAATACTCACAGATAATTATTTTTACATGTTAAATGATATTTTGCGAATCAATAATGATTAACTATGACCATTATTTTTGAATAATTGTAATATAATGCTAAGAACAGCTTAAACCGACCAGTCAATGAATGAGTTTTGCAATAATGTTGGCGACATGTGCACTTCATTTCACAGAGCACATATACTGTACAAACTCTATGGCGGTCTTTGATTCGCTCGTCATTCACAGATGTTCACGACATACCGATCGTGACTTGCTGTGTTGTGGATCGTCCCGGCGAAGTTGCGTATTGCTAATAAGGAGTGATTGAATTTAGTTTAATTTATTTCTTGTATAACGTCTTTTAACTCTTTGAAATGGTAAGTCAAGGAGAAAATGCCATTATCTTTGTTTTTCTGTCAGAAGATTCGATAACCTGTACCAAAGAATGAAGTGCAGTAACAATGAATTTCGTTATCATCTAATTGTAACAATAATTTACCTTCTCAAAATATAAATATTTTTTTTCTTTTGTTAGAGTCTGGGATTTCCCCCTTTGAAGCCACAGGCTACAGCACCGATAAAAGCTCCTGTCAAAGAAGGGCACTATGGAATACCTGATCCAATGATATTTGGGTATGCTGTTACACCATTTCTAATCTATTAAGTTATTGAAAATTATTATTTTGTGCATTTAAAACCTATCAAAATTGCGTTACCGAGAAAACTCTAGTAGAAATGAAACTAACATTTTTGTTATTTCTAAAAGCTTTATTCTGTTCTGTGCAGCATGGAAAATGTGCTATAATGTATTGTTAATATCCTCGTCTACATGTATTTGGCATAGTATCCTTTTCAATTTCGAATTCTTTATTTCTGTTGGTAAAATTGATTAATTTCAGTTTAACCTACGAAGAGAATAAATTAAATATGAGATTATATGCTGTTTAGATACTATGAAAGTCATGACTTCAAATAATTAAAATGCCTTCTTTGTGTCAATTTTACTGTTTGTGCAGACTTGGTGCTACTACAAAAGAAAAGTTGGTACAATCGCATCCTTTGGAATTGTCAGAAGCTAAAGTAAGTTTGTTACATATGTTTGTTAACTTTAATTTTATTATTTACTGTCTTTAGAGAGTTTATCATACCATATTATGAGACAGTGTAAAATTTTCAGTCTTATTTAAAATTGTTTAATTTTATTTTCTTAATGAATTGTCCCCCAATGTAGCATTTCATTTTCAGTGTACCAAAAACATTTATAAATGATGTGGTACTTTCAAAATGTGGATTGCAATCTTAATATTTTGTGAAATGCGTACTTGTAAACCAAACTGAAACTTTGAAAAATATTTGAACAATGAGTTAAAGTGAAGTAATTCTTGACTTTATGTTGGTATTTATAAGAGCTGTTACATCCGACACCTTGTGACCAATGATCTATGAAAGTTGGCACGTACATTTTTTTCACCCAGGTTTGTGTGCTGTTAATTTTGCTCTAACTCTACTAGATGGTACTGTAGAAAAAAACTAAATATTCATGTCAAATGCAACCCACAATACTTGGCAGAATTTTTGAACCTATATCGTTACAGAACTCCTTAACAGAGCATTCTGGGATATAAAACCAACATAAAGCTAGAATTTGAGGCCAAAGGCCTAAAAGAAAAAAGTATCACTTCGCAATGTTTAGAATGAAATCTTCTTGAACATTCTATTAAATTTCTGCTGGTCCAGCACTTCTCAATATTACCCACCTGCTCAGACACTTGCAGAATCTGCAACAAAATGTGAAAGAGAGGGACAGAGACGAAAGGGGAAAAAGGGAGATGGAGGGCAGAATGTCTGCTGGGTTTTGCTAGTTAAATATTTTGCTTCAATCAGAGCTGAATGAATGATATTGGTTTTTCAAATATCATTATTTTGTGCAACTTCTTTTCTTAGGAAGTCTTTGTAAACAACAGATGTCAGAGTTTTTCAGATTGTAGGCGACTTATTATTTCTTTATCTTAAATTAGATGTGTGTGCTGTAAGTATAAGGATTTTTAACATCTTACAAATGTACAATAAATTTACAATTTTATAAAATAGGAAAACCAAAAAAGAAGTTATTTAAAATGGTTTGATGCCTTAGTGTAAACCCAATACTGCACTATTTAAAAATGTGTAATATTTTTGTTACAGTATGCTGAAAATCAATTCAAAATGAACATGGTGACCTTACGAAATGTACAAGGTTTACATGCACCTTTGCGCATTGGAATGGAATTGGCGGCTGCACGTAGAGTAGGACATTTGCCCTTCCTTTCTTCATCTCGAGCAATGGAGGAAGTAATCACTGGGCGTGATGAAGAGATCGGTTTTGAGGATATCTTAAATACTGATGAATTCCGTGAACAAATGGGTCGGCCTTCTTTAGTTATTGAAAAATATTGGGGTTGAATATAATTTTAGGTTGATCAATAAATTTCTCTCCTTTCTCACTTATTTTACCCATTTTTGGGGACCCTGAAGAACTCTAAATATGACAACTGTAAATCTAACAATGTAGACCTTCATCTACATTTACGATATTCTCTTTTATGGAAATATATATTTCTTTTGTGGATTTTCTCCAAGAAAGTGATGTTAAGGTCATGAAATACTTCAATAAATTTAAAAGTGCATTTTTAAAACATTTATTTTCTGCCACACAAAACCAACAACTGGTTGATTGTTAAACTTTTTCCTTCAATGTAGGTAAGCTCTTACCATTCACTTCATCATACCCTAATGAGCATCCATAAAAGTTTTGGAATTGCTCCTTTCACGTTTTGTTCATCTCCCACATGTGCTACTTTTTCTCTATTCTATAGAATAGAAAGTGACAAATCCCAAAAATGCTGACAGTTTGATTAATAAAGTTATACTCAATTAAATGTAATTCCATCATAGAAGTTTTGTAGGTACCAATGAATGTAGTGTATCATTTTTTAATGTTACAGCACGTAGTAGTAGTAGTATAGTAGTAGCGTAGTAGTAGTAAATAGCTGTGGGATGTAAATTAATGTTTACAAGATATCTTAAAGAAACTCGCTTTGTATTTCTACCATTTTTCTTGCGTATAATTGATCATTTGCAAAAAGACTGTAGGCAAACTACGTTTTCTCACATCTTGGATTTAATTTACTGGACAATTGATACTCGTGGAAGGAAGAAAAGAAAGAGTTTCATGTCGTGATCTCTTTGTGTGTAGAAAGAAACATGCACGATTTGATCTTTGCTGACATTCACTGTAGCATGACGGAGCTACACAGTTGTAGACTTAAGGTCCTTTTTGTTTTTTTTACCTTTGAAATGGTTTTTAAACAAATAATTACATGAAATGTATTTCTCAAATATTTTGGAAGAAAACCTGAGAATTAATTAAAACAAATGGTCTATTCTTAGGTATAAAACTTTCTTGGAATATTTTTTAAAAGTTTTCAATAAAAACCTCAAAAATATATTCTTCAGGAATTTGTCACTACTGGTTTTCACTTGAGACTTTATAGGGCACATGACTTGGTGTATACTATACAGGTCTTGGAATGCAAATTATTTAATTTCATTAACAAAATTAGTTTAAAATTAATGATGTGGATATTATTCACCTACTAGCTTTAATTTTTAACAGACAAGAATAATAGAAATTTAGGAGAACTAAGAAAATACAAATAATTCCCTTTAAGATAATCTGTTGTTAATTTTATACAAGAGCAAAATTTGTCTCGTACATTAGTATATACAAAGAAGATACTTAAATGTAGAGGAAGCTTCAAGGAAAATCAACATTAAAACTTCAACAGAGATACTTGTTTTGTGAGCTCATCGATACCCAAAATGTCTTTCTGAACCATACCGAGAAATTTCCCCAAAATTGGGTTTCATGAACAATCTAGCCAGCCTTGAGTCCCTGTAAATTTGAAAGATGTTAATTTTGAGGGCACTTTTAATGAAGACCCTAGGGCATTTTAAAAGTGTAAAATATGGTATTTTTGTTTGTTGTTGAATACAGAATAAGTCACTTATAAAATATGCACATGTCTAACTTCCATAAAATCCTCTGAAATTCCAAAAGTATTAGGGTCTTGTGATTCCATCAACCATTTTATTGAAGATGAAAGATTTTTTACCTTTCTTGCCTTACTGCACACTAGGTTAAAAAGAGAGAGTATTGTAATGCAGTGTCGTAAATTGGCAATTTTTTTACTAATCTATGAATTCTGCCCTAGTAATGAAAAAGTGGATTATTACTTAAAAACAAGATACTCAGACATGAACATTAAACAATAAAATGCAATTCCACCGAAATCATTTGTGCAACAATTCAATTTATTTCCTACAAAACCATTTATAAAAATTCAATTTATAAATGCCATTCACAAACCATTCATCTAAATGGTTAACTAGAACTTTACTCAATGAAAATCACTTGTACAAAATGCTGGTAATGCTAGAAAGATTAATCAAATAATTCTTCAAAATAGTAACCAGAAGATCTTATCTACTCAGTCTATTATAGTTGAATCTCTCTTTTGCTCCTTTGGTCTCAACAATGATTTTTTTTTTTTTTTTAAATCGTTAAAATCTTAATTATTGAAAATAAAAATGAGCCCTTCAATATTGATTTGACTGAAGTATTTTTACTTTCTGTGTCTTTCAATATGGATTAATATTTCAATTAGATAGTAGAGGAATTTCAATACACTTATGATTACTCAAAGGTAATTCGAAAAAAAAGAGTTCCAACAAGATGAAGAGAAATATATGGAGTGACATTTATGAAATTTGAAGTTAATGTTAAGTTTTTGAGATCATTGTGGTTCTGGCAAATTGATATATTCCTCAGGCCCCCGCATCAGATCTATTGAAGGGTTGTAGAGAAATATTTTTTAAATAATGCATCAGGTTTGTCTTTAAAATTACATCTATTAATCTGGCAATTATTCAAATTTTGTTATTTTAAAATAAAAGCCGCTATTAACCGAGCAAACAATATCACAGACACAACCCGTAGGATTACAGCAATTTCACCAATCGGTAGCAAAAGATTCGACTCCTCACGACTAAATGACAGCTACAACTGACTGCTCTCATGACTTTCTCTTGTGGCTTACCACATAATCTACATTAAAGAAAGGGGAAAAAGATGTGTGACCACACACACTACTTCCATTGCCGCGGCTACGGCTCCCTGCCAGAAAGAAGACTAGTCGTCCGCCACGAGCTCTTGCAAGCGCAGGCGGCAAATCTTCTTGACTTCGTCTATCCCCGTGCGCAGCTCATCCTCTCGGGAGCGCTCCACGCGCTGTTGCAGGTCCTCCAAGATCTGCTCGGAGCTCTTCTTCTCACGGGCGCACACCACGTACGGGAAACCAAACCGCTCGCGGTACCTGCACGCAAAGAAGTTGCTCGTGACAGCGGTGGATCCCGACAGAACAGTAGTTGGGTGCGTCCGCCGTTGGCGTGACACCAATTAGAAAGTTTTAAAATGTCATAGTTTGGATTATATAATTTTAATGATTCTATATAAATAAATGATCAGTCTATTATTGACCAAGTTTCATTTAACGAGATAATTTATCAACAATTGACTGGAACTCCACTTAGTGGTTCACTTAGTTCAGTGTTCTCAGAACTTGTTATGCGAAGACTTGAAGAATCAATCCTACCTTTCGTTAAAGTGTACTACATAGAAATGTGAATGAGGAAAACTTCTTATGCTGTATCCGTTGGCAATATTAACCACATTTCTAAAAGACATGTAGCTCATGCTGATTATCCTTCAGTAACTTTTAGGTGAAGTATTTCTTTCAACAGAAGTCAGTTATAGTGCATACATTCAGTTCTGTGAAAAAATTGTCAGTGTATAGCATATCTGAACATTGCCTGTGTACAGCAAACTGCAACAGTATGTCTTTAATATTGTCAATAATACTACACATTTAGTAGTTTAACTTGAACAGAGAGATAATAGTAATTAAAGAAACAAAGTTGATTTTGACTATTTTACAATGTTATATGAAATGGGCATCTTTGAAAACTTTATTTTCAACAGTCTTGGGTGTTTTGTTTTTATTTTATTTTATTTTATTAAATCAATCTACACATTGAATGCGTTTATTTCAATAATGATTCAGATTCATTTTTCAATTAATTTATCATTGTAAAATATTTTCAATGCTTGAAGCTAGTTATAGTTTATTATCAGTATTTGTGGTACTATTTGAAATTGTTTGTATCAATGTAAGTCGCTGTCAGTAGAAATATTCAGTTAATTAAGATGATAAATGTTTGAAAGTTCTCTTTATTTTTTCGTGTATTCTCGGATAAAAAAATATAAGAACAGATGATTATTTAGTTTATAATATCGCCTGAATAAGTGTGTTATTCAGATGTAGTGCACTATTGTTCACATCATTTTGATAGGAGGGTAAACCTATTAATTCTCATCAGAAGTACACAAAGCATAAATAAAGCCACCTTCCTTTTCATGTTACTCTAAATTGAGATGTTTTCATATTTTGATAGAAACAGCAACTATTATTTGTTTCCAGAAGTCCATAAATGCCTGTATAAAAACTCTTCCCTCTTGTGACATGTCAAAAAATTGCAATTGAATCAAAATATGGGAGTGTATATTGATAATGATTTAGCATGTACAATTTTCAAGAATATAGACAGTCTGATTTTGTTTCCTATAGCAATTTTCACTCCAACAAGAGTATGTGGATCCTGTAAATTTAAAGATTATGCATATATTGCCTGGTGAAATTAAAACATATTTTCCAATAGACGTTGTTCTTCAAAGTGTTCAAATGTTCGACTCTCATGTATACGCCCTTTCGATTTCATCGTGAACACAAAGTACATTCCAGTTCGAGCTCAGGAGTACCTTCACTTGGTCCAAAGTACACAATTTGTTGGCAAAAATGCATATCGTGGCAAGCTATTGTCCATATTCGTTGGCGGCGGCGATGGTGTAACGGTTAGCGTACTGGACTGTTGTACCCAAGTTGGCGGGTTCAAAACCGATTGAAGCCGTGAATTTTTAAGGGCGAAAAAATCCTTCATGCGCCTTCCTTCGGAGGGGAAGTAAAGCCGGCTGTCCCATGTTCGTAGATTTACTTGCATGTAAAAGATCCTCAAGCCTAAATGAAGCCTCTGAGCCAAATTCAAGTCGCCTGTTTCTCGCCCAAGAAATACCTTTCTCCGGTAGTTGGTGAAAGGAGCGTAGCGAAATTTGCGTGGTCAGACGGAAGAGCAGGCCTAATGGCCTGAGTCTCGCCACGTAAAATAAGGCATAATTCAATTCAATATTCCGTACATTGGAGATACGATTCCGTCTCGCGGACATTGGCGCACATGCCCATTTTCGCCAGGCCTGCTCTCAATTTCCTCTCTTTTCCTATTATTTGGAGATTATAACATTCCTGGTGATAAATCTATTATTAAATTGTATTACATAATATTTTATTAAGAGTGGTCACCGCTTTAAAATATTGTTTACGAGTTACAATGAGCATAAAGTTAAAAAATTTTAAAAAATGTCGATACACAGCAGTGCGCAAAGAACATAAACAGTTAAATATGGTCCTCATGGCAAGAAATACGGTAGATTCTCCCCTTCCCACAAAGCTGCCTAGCCCCTACTAGTTGCACTTTCGGCTTTCTCGCGGGCAGACGACTGGCTCGTAAGTGCAAAATGCCCGCGGGAGCATTGTGCAGGCCTGCGGTATAGATATCGTATAAAGGTATTTTCGGGTAGAAAAGAATAAAGGTATTTATATTGATAACTCACCACAATACTTATATATAAAGGTTTTTGATAGAGTAATGGAAAAATACCAGTATTTTACCGGCATTCTATACCTTTTCGGCGCCAGGGTTAAATATGCCATTTATATTGTAATGTACACTATAATTAATAATGAAAACTAAAACATAATAAATAAAACAAAACAATTTGAATTAAGTAAATGTGATGAACTACATTTTGTTAGTAATTGACAATTACATTCATACGAAATATTATTTAATACGATTACACTGAACCGCAAAGATCGACCAGCCACAAAGCAATTCAGTGACTAGATTTCACCCAGTTTCTGCGGTAGTGATGCACGGGCTGCTCTTACTTAGAATGCGAACTACATGATTGATTAGCGTTTGCCAACTGGAGGAGATATGATGTTGAAGCTCTGTTCCCCTCCCTGATCGCCTGCTCGGAGAAATGGTTCGAGCAAAGGGTGGCGGGGGGAGGAGAAGACGGCGGTTACCGATAACAAAAACTTTGCCGATGTTGCAGGGGACACAACATCTACACCCGTTAATTTTCTTTCGGTTTGGGAAGAAAAAATTCCTTTTGTCGATATCGTAACAACGGGGAAGTATTTAGTGTATTCGAAAGAAATGCAGTATGTTAAAAAGTTCAACCAACAGAAGCAATACGCTGCTTTGTAACTCAGAGAAACCCGCGAGATGAAAATAATTTCTGAGAATTTACAGACAGCCTGCAATCATGAAATGAGAAAAGGATTTAGCATATAGAAGATTATGAAAAATGGAATTGAAAATCACGACAATTTACAACAATGTAATGCAAAACTGTACTGTATAAATAATCGAGCCTGGAGTCCAAACTCTATACATGTCGACGCACTGAATTCGAATGTGAAGCCAGAATTGCGCCATCACTCCCAGTTTTTTTAATCGCGAAAAAACACAATTTAATTGTATTTTTTAGTACTTACTTGGCAATCCGGGAGACGCCGTGTCTAGGGCACAGGTCCCAACGTTTCAGTCGCCATTCTGCGACCTTCATCAGGCGTAGTTATTGCAATAATTTGCAATTGCAATACATTTGTTAGCTGGATAGTTAAGAAAGTACTGACTCCGGCCGCAAAAGCCTACGCTCTCACAAAATAATTGTCGCAAAAATATCGTTGAATTGTAAATTTTATTGTGTTTTTCCGCATTTAAAAAATATGGAGGATATTGGCGCAATTCTAGTTTCAGATTCAGCGTGTTGACATACTGTAGCGTCACGGTTTGGCAGCAGCAAGCCGAGTGCAGGTTCAGGCAGGGTTGGGGATTGAAAAATAGACGCCAAACAAAGAATGGACTTCCGACAGGAAATTGTCCGCGGGGCCCAGGCAGCCGCCAGGGAAAGGCTCTTTCCACCGCGCGGCGGGTGGGGGTCAGGTTGTAGGAGGTCAGTGGCACGTAGGAGTCGAGGTGACCTGAACCTATAAAGACGGCGCGAAACGGGTAACGTTTCTGGTTTCCTTGGCGTAGACCACAAAAACTTGTCCGCCCAGGCTGGTTGCGGAGTGCCGAGGCCACGTTGGTTTGTTTCGGGACGAGTTCGGACAGGGTGATGTGTTCTTCAAACACGATTCGGGGCAGATCGTCAATCTGCCGGGGCACACCAGGCTGCCAATTGCGACGCAGCGTTGGCAGGCTGGTCGTAGGCGTCGCCGCCAAGGCGCATGCAGGGAGAGAGAGGGTTGCAGAGGTTAGCTCTGGCAAACCGCCTTAGAGTGAGAGTTGTAAAAATGTACATTGTGTAAATAAAAACTGTATATACTCACTCGTGTCTGTTTCCTTGTGGTGTAGATCACTACACACGACGTTACAATACATAGAGAAACATGCGTCAAGTCTTTGGGCTTTTTTTCACTTATTTAAAACATTTTTATTTTTTGTGCCTGTATTATTGGATCAGAACGAACTAAAATTGTGATATTATATAACATTGTATAAAATATTGTATTAGAACATTGAAACTATCTTCTCCAAAAATGTGATATGTTACAAGAATGGAAGTGGAATTACAGTACTGGTTACGATAGAGCCGGATATTGCTTTGCGTAATGAAATAATCTACGTTCTTTTTTATTTTTTATATTTTTATTGAATCATAAACAGTTAAATAATCATTAGCATTGAAAAACGTAATTATCGAGTGAACCTTTTTTCCGCCACTTTCGTACCATCATTGCAACACTGCACGCCCTTCGCCGCGTCTGGCACTGCCTTTGCTCCGGGCAGGAGAGCAGGATTTTGTGACGTCACAGAGTATTGAGTTGGCAAGCACTTATAAATCATCAACTTACTGTTTACAATGGTTGAAAATTGACCTCCTTTTGATTTCAACGTTTGGAAACTGACACTCGTTTGTTTTCACTGGTTGAAAATTGACACCTTTGTGTTGTTTCTGTTTGAAAAATAATTCCTTTGTTTTCCTTTCATGAAAATTTACACCTTTTAAAATTAGTTTAACTTTACTCCATTCAACCAAACCACTGAAGCCCTACATATGATAGATACATCGTACGCTAATTTCGAGATTTTATTTCTTTTGAATTGCTACGTAATTCCTTAACGTATTGTACGCTCCTGACAAGTTCTTTCGACAGTTCGGCAAGCCCGGTGCCTAACACCCGTGAAGGCGCGGAAAAGCACGCGATTCAGGAAGCTGGCGTCTTAAAAGTAGCGCTTTAACAAAATAATCAATTAATTTCTATAACGCACATTGAAAGTCAGGCCGGAAACTTTTGAAACCCTCCTTCGTACATATACTGTTTATACGTCTTGGGCGCCATCAAAGACTACAGCCATTGGCCTAGCCTAACAAAATCGAGACAAACTTTAGACAATTTTAGAAGTGGTGATCTCCAGACATCGTTATCTCCTTAGGCGAAACATACGGAGGCTGCATCCCCCCTGTATTTTCATATTTGTGGAATTCTCACAATTTAGTAAAATGTATAAATACATATTGAGGAAAAATCTTTCAAACATTTCAAAACATTTGTATTACTCGATTACTCGAATAACAACTGTAAACAAGAGAGAATCAATAAAAGGCATACTCGTGCGAACAGAGGAGAGGAGGGGTCCATTTCTCCCCTGAAAATTTCGAAAGGAACCCATAAGCTCTGCTTAATAAAACATTTTATTTCTTTCATAAATATAATCAATTTTCTCTTTTATCTTTATTTTCCTCTTCAATTAAACTGATAAATTCGAAAATTGATTCACAACATTTACGGAAGAGTCTCTCCAAACTCTCTACGAGTACCAACCTTTAAATTGTTGAACATAAAATAAACAAAATTTAATAATTGTATCATTAAAGTTATAAATTAATTCTCCTTGAAGTATGATTTATTTATTTATTAGTAAAATAGGTCGTGTGTACATAACGAAGTTTAATGGAAAAGGGAGTCTAGAAATGTAGTTGGCCCCTCTTATTTTAGGTTGCACACACCTATAGTAAAAAGATAAATAGATCATAAATAATAATAGTACAGTAGCCCCGTTTCCACTCAATGAATTCATCTTTCTCGGAAGTGTCATGTGTCTCTGCGCCGAGGAAACCAGAGAAGCGTCCCTAGCAATCTAGACAACGTCCTCGGTTGAGAAGTATTTTTGGTCCTCTGTAGATTTTCTACCAGAAAATGGACCGCGTTCTTATAAGAAGGACAAAAATATGTATATGCAGCACAAAAATCATAATCACACGATTAATAATAATAACAGTAATAATAACAATAATAATAATAATGATAATAATAATAATAATAATAATAATAATGCGTTACGAACCTTTAATTTTTCCATTCTTCGCTTTAAATAAATTTCAATGAATTATGCGGGGCAGTGATGAAGGATACATCATTAAGCTTTTATCACGATTTTAAAATATAATTGGAAAAACTTTTCGCATTTTGAATGAGGAAATCCTCTGTCTGAAGACTGATGCATCAGGCTTACTTCCTATTCAAAGTTTATAATGAAAATTAATTTACTCTTCTCACTTAACTGCGTTCAACTCGAATTCTTCTTATTTGCACTTTATTTTATATATATATCGTTTAGCCGATTTTCTCTAAAATTAATATTCCTCAATCATTGTAGCTGATGCCGCGGATCCTGGAATTTGTAACCAAAAATTTAGTTTTGGGGAGTACTTTACATAAAGCCACTGGGATATTTTCAAAATTTTCAAAAAAAAGTGTATACAAAGTTTTTGATTTGATTTTGTTGTTGAATAGTGCAAAGAACGTTTAAATGGTGCAGGTCTCATTTTCGTTAATATCCCCAATTTTTCGAAAAAAAAGAGAAAAAAAAATTTAAAACTTCAAAGTTAGAGATAAATACTTTTGTTTCAGACAGTCTGTTGTACAAAATTAGCTCTTTTAAATTTGACCTCTGCAATTTTTTTGAAGTTTTTTGAGTTTTTTTGCCTTCTTTGCGATTAGAATATACAATTGTTTTCTGAGAAACCGTTCCAATTTCTTTCTTTAAATTGTCTTCATTTATGTAATAAGAGGTCAAACAAATATGGCGGTAGTAATATTTTCTAGTGTTGCTCGGTATTTTAAAATTTCACCAAAAATAGCTCACATTTTAAAACAAGAAAATTGAAAGTAGATTTTTGCCTTGGACAAAATCTGTTATACAAAATTAGCTCTTCAAAAAAGGTCACGTACATTTTTTTAAACGAGGACTTTGCATAATTTCGGTTTGCAATTAATGAAATGTATACGGGTTTCACACTAAGGACCACCTTCCATTTATGGCAAAAATGGCGCTTTTAGGAAGAATTGATATAAAAATGTGTGCCCGTTGTTTGCGCAGTTTGTTGTCAGCGCTCATCGACTCAGATGTGTTGATATACACAGAAAGGCGGTATAATATTATATAACTGTTACTATAGGGCGAGAAAGTATGTGCTGTTTTAGCACCACTAGTAATTTTTCCTGCACGTTTCCAATTTCAAATTTTTTTGGGTCCGTTTGGTGGCCTTTCGGGGGGCTGGGGGGAGGCTTTGGGGGAAGGGTTTGCCCCCCCTCGCGATCCGCTTCTGCTCGCGAGAGCGGTGCTGGCGATGTATGCACGCACCTGGCGTTGAGGAGGGCGAGCCGCTGCGCTCGCTCGGGGTCGAGGCGCAGGACGCCGGCCGCCTGCTGCTCTCGCTGCGACTCGGCCGTGAGCAGGCCGTGCTGCGCCAGGCGGCCCGCCAGGTCCGGGTGCAGCAGCAGCACGCGCCGCCGCGCCGCCTCGGGCAGCGCCTCCAGAATGTCCGCCGCCGCCTGTGCCGCCGCGCCCACGCTGCGCACAACGGGTCCATTCACTCACACAAAAGAAGAAAAAGGAAGAAGAAGAAGAAAAAGAAAAAAAGAAAGAAAAAAGAAGAAGAAGAAGAAGAAGAAGAAGAAGAAGAAACTTATTCCCTGGGACTGTGCACTATGGATGCGTCATCGATGTCGATGTTTCCAAAACTTTCATGCTTTTGTAGAAAGCAACCGAGATGACGATGTCCTGGTATTTCTTACGCCTTCGTATTTCTCACGTGGAACGGCGGTTAACGTACGCGACGTCGGGCCTCCTCTCTTCTTTCTGTATCCTAATTTGGCAAACTGAAGACAGGCCCTTGAGTATCCATGTTTAAAACATCGATCGATGTCGCATCCCTGGTTCACGTATTATCCGCGCACGATTTCATGAGCCCTCATTTCGCTATATGCGAGAGGAGTGTTTTTTTATTATTATTTTGCCGACAAGACTTTAGTATCAAATTTGTAGCACGTTTTTTGATGCACTTTTCTATTACACAGGAAAGAATATTTTTGTTATCAGATTTTGTCAACTTCGCTCCTTGCTATGTATTCTTAATTCAACTATCGTTAGTAAAGGAGTGGGGGTACATATTCCGGGGCTCATGAAAACGTGCGTGTATAATACTCAGAATAGTTTTTCTTTTCTTCTCCCCCCTCCCCATGTATGAAAAGGACAGTTGAGGGATGGAGCATCCTATTACCATGGACGCAAGGTTGTTGAGAGAGACTGGGTTGAGTTCGCGAGAGTATGGACGCCAGAATGTAGACCGCTTAAATATTCATGTGAAATTGTGATTTAAACTCCATTTAGTAGCGACTTGGAAGTTTGGCGAAACTTTGGGTAAAGCAATTTAGCACGTTGATCGTCGTTTCTAAAGAAACGAACAAGATATCCGCAGAAGGGGAGGAGGTATTATTTACCGATTGATACTGATAGTATGATTTCACGAACATTATATTTACTTCGAGTTTTAACTTGAGGTGTTATTATTTAAATTACTTCAAGAGAGAGGTCAACGGACAGCAACGTTTGGCGAGTGGCAATACAGCTGCAACTGATTTAGTTGGTGGTAAAACGAATGAGGGCACATCATAATGGCATACGCTGTTGCGGGAACATTGGGTTCAGAAGATTTGTAACACACAAAAATCAAACACAAATAGAATGAACATGAGATAGTGGTCTCCTCTGGTTAGAGGGATTCCAATATTTTTTTCGAAACACTGTGCTTATATTATCATCTTAACGCAACTAAATAGAGAGCGAAAATCCACTTTTAACGGCCGGCGTTTGTTAAGGGTTTAACTGTTGTTTCGCCTGTCAAGAACAATCGAAACAAATAAATTGTAACTAAAAGTACTAGCGTACAAGGGATGTACACTAATTCTAGGAGATGATATTTCTTGTTTGAATATGATTTTTTCTTACAAAAAATGTTATTACGAAATGTAGTGAACGACGCACGGACGAATAACAAACTCGGTTGGTACTTCTGTTTATCCGCCTAATAAGGTTAATAACTAAAAAAATAGTTTTTAATACTTGAAATATTTTAATATTAGTTTATCAAATTTAAAATGTCATAATTTATTTTCATCTTAAGAGCTGCCACTATGGTGTGCGTGTGCGTGTGTGTGTGTGTGGGGGAGGGGGGGCGGTGTTAGATACCCCAGCTTAATCTTTTAACAACGAAACTCCCAGAAGAGCAGGAGAAGGGCCCTCATCTCATCTTCAGAAGGTTAGTAAAAAAATCAATTTTGTATCAAATGTGAGCGATGACCCACGAAACTATTTATTTCTTTTCGTTCTACCTTATCCATTGTAACTCGAACTCTTATTTGTACGCGCGAAGTCGAATCGTCACCTGCAGAAAGGCCGCTGTGTGGCGAGGGCGACGGCCACTTCCGGGCAGCACTCCACCACGTTGGAGAAGACGCGGCGGAAGTCGACGTCGGGTAGCGCGTTCATCTGCGCCAGCGACAGGCGAGGGGGCGGCGCCGGGGGCCGCGCATCTGCGGCGCCGGGGGCCTGCAACACAGCCGCCGCAGCTGTCAGTCACTCCGCCTTGCCTGGAGCGACGTCGCTGCAGATGAACCGAAACTACAGCCCATACTTCCAGTATTATTATACGTCTAGTAATTATTAATATATGAAGTATACTTCTGCCGGGCCGGATAGCCGAGGTTGCAAAGGCCGAAGAGCCGTAGTCCATTCATCCTTCATCATCATCCTCATTTCATACCTCATCCCCCCTGGGCAAACAACCTTGGGGTGTATAAAAATGGGTTCAGCATATAAATGATGATCCTCCCCAAAACGTAACGTGCTTGTTCGGTTGCTTGTTCGCGTGGTCCCAAGATGACCAATTCGCGACCTATATATACTTCTAGTATTATAATTAATTATATTTATAGTATTATTTATAACGTACAATGTAGGCTTTCACGCCCGGAAAAACTGATTTTGATTATTTATAAAGGTTACCTAATATAATACTACCTTGTTGAACCCGCAAGAATTACGTAGTGGTTGGGTTGTTAACGGCGGTAGTGAAGTTCGATGCTCGTGGTAGTTACTGGACCATCAGGCTGTTTACATACGAAAATAAAAGATTCCCGTCACATCGAAAAGAAAGTTAATTTATTCGATTATCAAAACTTTGGATGTTTTAATGAATATCCGACCCATGACATAAATTATTCCACGTGCCTTGTTCTGTTGGGGCAAGAAATTTGGATCCTCTTTTTTGGGGGGAATTTTGTTTAAGTAAAACTTGACGTGCTACAATAGCACATAATTTCTAGCTTTATTTCTCAATTTGGCACTTTCAAAATTCAGAGAGTTCAACAAAAATAAGACCTGCACCAATTCTTTAATATTCGAAAATATTTGGATCGGTTTTTGAGA